GCGTCGGTCAATTTTGGTATTTACCACTTCTGAAGTAAATGATACACGATCCTGACTGTGTTTATACTTAGTACTTCTATTTTCAGTTGTGGTGCTATAGCGGAAATTAAATGTGGCTTTTATAACTATTCTAACGAAATATTCGGTTGTATCGTAAGTCGTGTTTTAAATAGCCAGGCAGCCTGTCATACAATTTATTGGTTGTCGTTCGTTGCTGTCTATCATATTTTGTTTTGCGTTTTTATTTTCGTCATTATTCAGGTCGTTGGTTTTTTCGTTTGAATTGTTTTACATTTGTCATGGCGGAGCCTTTTATAACTGACAATAAGGTATGGGTTTTGGTCATTGATGAGGGCTATAAGTGGACGAAACGCGCGTCTGGCGTACAAAATCTTGATCCTGGTATCTATGCTGAGTTTATTTACAAGCATACTACACATCCTTATTGTATATTGAAATAATATAACATATGTTGTAGCATTTTTCTTTTTTCTATAATACACTATTTACATATGTAATATATAAATTAAGGACTTTCACTCAGTCAATATATACGTTATATATGGACCTGTTATATTATATGGAATTACGGGCTTCGTCCACGGTCAATTAATCTGAACAGGTCCATATATAACGTATTGACCTCTTCAAAAGTCCATCATTGATAAATATTTCTTAAGAGAAAGAAATATTCCGAGAGACAATACAATCCAATACGGTTTCAAATAAAACTTGAAAATGAATACAAAAATATAGCAAAGTTTTATTCCATACTTTGACGGATGTGCCAACGTGTATTTGTCTCTCCTAACAGAAGTTCCCCTGGAAACTTTGTTATAAACAATGCTATAATATCTGTTCCTATTTAAACAAATATGTTATACTCTTTATTCCGTTAATAACAAATACTGAAATGTTTCCTCTAGTGGAAATAATATAAGACATGTGTCAACGTATATTTGTCCCTCCTAACAGAAGTTCCCCTGGAAACTTTGTTATAAACAATGCTATAATATCTGTTCCTATTTAAACAAATATGTTATACTCTTTATTCCGTTAAGAACAAATACTGAAATGTTTCCTCTAGTGGAAATAATATAAGACATGTGTCAACGTATATTTGTTCCTCCTAACAGAAGTTCTCCTGGAAACTTTGTTATAAACAATGCTACAATATCTGTTCCTATTTAAACATATATTTTATACTCTTTATTCTGTTAAGAACAAATACTGTAATATTTCCTCTAGTTGAAATGATATAAGACATGTGTCAACGTATATTTGTTCCTCCTAACAAAAGTTCCCCAGGAAACTTTGTTATAAACAATGCTATAATATCTGTTCCTAATTAAACCAATATTTTATACTCTTTATTCCGTTATGAACAAATACTGTAATATTTCCTCTAGTGGAAATAATATAAGACATGTGTCAACGTATATTTGTTCGTCCTAACAGAAGTTCCCCTGGAAACTTTGTTATAAACAATGCTATAATATCTGTTCCTATTTAAACATATATTTTATACTCTTTATTCTGTTTAGAACAAATACTGTAATATTTCCTCTAGTGGAAATAATATTAGACATGTGTCAACGTATATTTGTCCCTCCTAACAGAAGTTCCCCAGGAAACTTTGTTATAAACAATGCTATAATATCTGTTCCTATTGAAACATATATTTTATACTCTTTATTCCGTTAAGAACAAATACTGAAATATTTCCTCTAGTGGAAATAATATAAGACATGTGTCAACGTATATTTGTTCGTCCTAACAGAAGTTCCCCTGGAAACTTTGTTATAAACAATGCTATAATATCTGTTCCTATTTAAACATATATTTTATACTCTTTATTCTGTTTAGAACAAATACTGTAATATTTCCTCTAGTGGAAATAATATAAGACATGTGTCAACGTATATTTGTCCCTCCTAACAGAAGTTCCCCAGGAAACTTTGTTATAAACAATGCTATAATATCTGTTCCTATTGAAACATATATTTTATACTCTTTATTCTGTTTAGAACAAATACTGTAATATTTCTTCTAGTGGAAATAATTTTCCATAATATTTCTTCCATTTAGAACTTGTATTATAAAGGAACTTCATATGATGAAGACATAATCTTTCAATCAGTTTAATTGAAGTCTGGAGCTGGCATGTCAGTAACTGCTAGTAGTCCTTTGTTAATTTATGTATCATTGTCATGTTGTTACCTATTCTGACATCGGACTCGGACTTCTTTTAAACTGAGTTTTTTTGTGCGTATTGCTGCGTGTTTGTTTATTCTACATTGGCTAGAGGTATAGGAGGAGAGTTAAGATCCCATAAAACATGTTTAACACCTCCGCATTTTTGCGCCTGTCCCAAGTCAGGAGCCTCTGGACTTTGTTAGTCTTGTATGTTTTTTAATTTTAGTTTATCTATGTTTTGGAGTTTAGTATGACGTCCATTTTCACTGAACTAGTACACATTTTTATTTATGGGCCAGCTGAAGCCCGCCTCCGGGTGCGTGATTTTCTCGTTGTGTTGAAGACCCATTGGTGGCCTTCGGCTGTTTTCTACTCTTTGGTCGGGTTGTTGTCTCTTTGACACATTCCCCATTTCCATTCTCAATTTTATTTTATTGCATGACAGCTACCACTGTGCAGCTTAAAAACAAGCAACGACAACCAGACGGATACAACCTGATAAAGATACAGATCGTGTGACCACGCTTCGCTTACCAGTTGTTGCCGAGATGTAAATTAATACTTTAAAAAGATTAATCTTTTATCTTTCTTCGGAACTTGTTTTGGCGAAATTTATGCTTATGGACATTAAAGATACATATGAATTTGCACCTACCATGTTCGACTATTTCATGAAATCAACTGGATATCAGACTGTATGAAGACTGTGTACTCGGACCATCAGACTGTATGATATCAGACTGTATGAAGACAGGTTCAACTGGATATCAGACGGTATGAAGACTGTATGATATCAGACGGTATGAAGACTGTATGAAGACAAGTTCAATGATACTTGTTTACATCTACGTCATTTGGTCTTTACTGGTAAGTTGTCATTGGCAATTGTACCTCATTTTCTTATTTTTATTAGTGTACAGTTATAAATCCGAGTGATTTCGAAGGTTTTTACATGCTCGTAAACCAAAATTGTATTTGTGTGTATTTATTCACGTGTATATCCCCACCGCGAAACACGTGAAAGTATGTATATTTAATGTATATATATTTGTAATTGAAAAATGTGATTTTTATGCGCGCTTCCATTAATATATCGAGGCATATAGAATTTCAATTATTAACTCCTTCATCACCCTTTCGAAATGTAACATTCGTTCGGATTATTTTATTGTAGACTGATTTGTGTATTTTTCTGTATAGGGACGACCTAAAGATCAACCATGCATAATTTTGAAATGTCCTACTTTCGCGGAGTTAAGAACTTTGGATTTGAATTTTGTTGTCTCACACAAGACACCTTTTGTTGATGAAGGCAGAACTATCGATTAATTGGTTGCTTGTAAGATGCTTTAGTCTAGTGGCAATTATTTGATGAATATTCAAGGCGAACATTTGATGAATAAATCATTATATTTACAACTCGTTTAGACTCATGATAATTTAAGATTATATAGAACTTTTTATACGATGTGGGCGCTAGTATGTTGTTGAACAATGTACTGATTTGGACCTACAGTTTATTTTTGTTTTTTTTTTGGCTGCTGTCTCGTTTAACATAAACACTATTTTTCCTTCAAGGACAAAACAATTGGAAATTTGGTGTTCAATTTGATTATAAAATGTGGGTAGGCTTTGTTCACAATCAATCTAACTATGGTTGGTTAAGTAGATATTTTTCTATTATTGAAAGACACATGTTGATCTTTAGATGTATTTCATGGTCTATGTGATGTTGTATGGGTTGCTGTCTCATTAAAGCATTCCCTGAATCGCCTTTTATTGGTAATATCAATGATTTGAATAGAACGTGGTCTTAGTCTGACAGTCAGTATACATATACCGTTGAAAAATTCGTAAAGTTCATGATTAGTGTAGATTATAAATGCAAATCAAGATTGATGCTGCAATATAGAACGTTTATCTATTAAATATGGACAGGGAAACTTGTAATTGAAAGGTCGTCATACTTATGTTTCCTTTTCACCTACCTTTAATATGATTACGAACTTTCAACGGCGTATTTCATCTGCTTTTGAAAGTTCTTTTGTGAGTGACTTTCGGGGACTCTTTACGTGATTGTTTCACATTTCCAAAATTCATTATGATTGATGAGTATTTTTAATGTTTTCTGAATTCTAAACCTTAATTACGTTTTCGTAAAATATGTATATAAAATAATAAGGAAAATTTTAATTCATTCATATCAATTAAATAAAAATTGTATAAAACTGTACAAAATAAACAAAACGACAATAACCCAATAACAGACATTCAAGCAACAACTGAATGAAGTCTGTGGTAATTTTGTCGACGGCGGTAGGACAGCAATGACTGGCGAGCGGCAGGATCTAATAGGCAAAATAAAATACACGAGAAAAATGCTTGCGAGGAATCTCCGAAACACTGAATATAGAAAAAGATTTTGTCAAACATCGTATAATTTTCCAAATGGTCTTTAGTATAATGTTTGTACAGTGCAACACCGAATCTAATGGTTCCCCATATCCTCAGAACATAGATTATCAGCCACAGTGTCAAGTAATTCTCATCTGATGGTCTGAGATTGTCGGATAAATCACAAAAACTCAAGCGGGCTTGTTGTCGTTCTTTTCTCTATAAGACAGAAAGAAAGAAAGATAAGAATTGATGCCTTTATTTAGCTTAGATATAAAATAAAAAAGGGCGACAAAATATATTATTACATACTTTAAACATTATTATCGACATAAGGTGACGATACATTATACCTAAGAGGATCTTAAATAGTGTGAGACTTCTGTGTTTAAATACATCGATCCAAAAGTTTAAGAGAAAACTTCAGAATGTGTTGAACAAAATTTCCAAAATCAAATAACGTATTCGAGATATTACGGATACAAAGGAAATGTGGTATGATTGCCAATGAGACAACTATCTACAGTGACTTAATGAAGTAGATATAAGCAACTATAGGTCACCGTACGGCATCAGACAAAGAGCAAAATCCATACCTTTTTTGAAGCATTCTTTAATATTTTTCTATTTGTAAATCTTTAAAAAAAAAAATGGAATTCCGTTCATTACAATTCCTCGTTATGCAGATTTCACTGTGAATGATAAAATCACTACATAAAGAGTTAAAGTAACGTACTTATTTAAAAAAAATAATCTGAAAATGTTAAAAAGATTGTGGTTTTCGCACTTGCAGTTCTTTGCAGGAGAATATCTTTATAGGACTTTCGATTTCCACCGAAACTACCCTTCAGTGCAAATATATATTAAATAATTCAAACGATATAAATATGTGTTCGTTGTGGTTCAACAATGATGATTAAGATTTAGCTGAATTAATTTTTTTTAACGGTCAGGTTTGAGTTCTAAAAGACATCGTGATCGTAAATTGATGAGCCGAAGAAAAACAGTCGACGGACACTACAAAATTAACTCAGGATTGAGCAGCAGAAACCACACAGAAAAATAACAACTTCCGTCTTACTCAGTCGCTATTGTATTACTCGTGCTAAAATCCAGTTAGCCATTATATTTAGGAATAAAGTGTCCAACTACATCAGGTTGTAGTCTCTTGTATTTTCTTAAGACATTACCAATATAAAAGTAAGCAGATTTGGTATATTTGCCAATGAGACTATTCATAAAAACCAAAGATCATTTAATATAAAAAAAAACTGCGTTTAAATGAATTAATTTTTGTAATAACTGTCACAAAATTGTAACGTATGGGTATTTATAAGATGTACTATAATGAAATTTTGCAAGATATTATCTTTACTAGCAACGAAAATAGCGTCGTTATAAAAACAAAACTCAAGCGGTCGAAGATTGTCGGATAGATCACAAAAACTCAAGCGGGCTTGTTGTCGTTCTTTTCTCTAAAAGACAGAAAAATAGAAAGATAAGAATCGATGCCTTTATTTAGCTTAAATATAAAATAAAAAAGGGCGACCACTTGAGTTTTGTTTATATAACAACGCTATTGTCGTTGCTAGTAAAGATAATATCTTGCAAAAATTCATTATAATATGAATTGCCCTTTTAACATGAGTTAAGAATACTTATGCTACAACAAAGAAACGAAAAGCAAATATGTCAAACAACAATAAACAACAACCACTGAAATGCATGTTCCTCTTGGCTTGGGACAGACACACAAAGAATGTGGCGGGGTCAATGTGTGTGTAAGTACCCCTCCCACAGGCACTTGTTTCTATCCATGGGAAGAACCACTATCAACGTATATTTACATTGATAGTGGTTCTTCCCATGGAGAGAAACAAGTGCTTGTGACCCCTCCGTCCCATAGTTCTTAAGCAATTAGTACATGTCAATTCTCTTACCGTAAAACATGACCGGATGGAAAATATATATATATATATATAATTGAAAAGTAAATATACAAACAAATCTTTTTTATCTCGCTTAAATAAGAATTTATAGTTTTACCTTCTGTATCATATATCCCTTTAACAAGATATACGAAGCTCCAGTTAGGAGGTACATAAGAAGTTCCCAGCCTTTTCCTGTTACCATCATCCAGAAAAACTGTTCTGAAGTAGTAAGGCAGGCTGAGATCCAGCACCACAGACCACTTCCGACCCTGTAGTCTTCACCTATAACGCCATTGATCATTGCTAGTATTACTATGACAACTGTAAACAAAATCATAAAAAAGGTCAACTAGATTTAAACATGATTAATTGATTGAGTGGCAGAGTGGTGCTTAACTTCTAATAATGGCAAACATTACAGGCGTATTCAATTCAAGATGATGACATCGTGCATTTTTATTGGACTGAAAAGAAACTTCCTGGCTCACAAGGTTATGGCCCATTTTAGCTACCTAGATTCATTTTGTTACTGCGAGTCTATCAATCTTTGTTCTTCTCTGCAGTCTTAGCGGAGAAGTATCAGCTTAACTTTTTGTTTGAAGCTAGTATAATCTCCTGCATTGACGACAGTACGCTTCCACGGTAGCTACCATGAAACCACCGAGACGATAAATTAATTAAAGAGGAGTACATGCAACTGTTACTATTCGGGCTCAAATTCTTACAAAAATGTATTAAAATATTTGTAATTTGAAAATGACTCATTGGTCTGAAGATAGTTACACTGAGAACGTAACAACAGAAAACAACACAGACGAAAAAGGAAATTAAACAGTAACTGTTGTGAACGATATCAAAACACTACGAGTTTCTGTTGCCAAAGACGATTGGCTAATTGTCAACATTGTTCGATTTTATGTGTCTTGTGTCATCAGAACACATGTCACATGTCAAGTATTTTTAAATGTGGTGTAATTGAGCTATTCAAATATATAGATCACGCGAGTAAATTATAAAGAAAATATTCACAGCAAAACAAAGCAGAATGGAACAAAAATTATCTTAGGAATATACAGTGGAAAAACCGGTGACACGAGAACAATAGAAAAGTGACTTTTTTGAAAAAGTCGAGAAATGATTTTTTTTTGATTTTTTTTACATCGGTAACCACACCGATTAAATTTTAAAGTTCTTTCTAAACCACAATTATTGTACGTTTTAAAGAAATAATCTGCTAAGATATGTTATTTGAAAAATACATGTAAATACATAATGTCTTATTTGTCATTTTTTTTTATCGAGATAATTACATTTGAAGCTTGTTGCAGTTGCACTGAAATTTAAAAAAAAGTTTGGTCTTTAATTTTGCTGCATACTGATAAACAAAAATAGAAAAAAAACAAGAACATTCAAACCATACAAAATCTAAAACTCTTTTCTATGTTAAACGAAGTCCTTAGCATGTTACAATTTTTACAAAATATGCCTTTTTTTCTGAACTTCTCTGGTCTATCGCCATGCATATACGGTTAATTGACATTTCCCAGTAAGGTGTACAGCAATTAAAAAAAGGAACTAAGGTTGGTACGCCAGAATTTATTCGCATAGCAGCATTTAAAACCAACTTTACAAAAAACTTCGATAGCCATCGTTTGTTAATTATATTAAAAGGGAAATGATTACTTTGTGTATTGTTTTTTTTTTATTTCAATTCATTTTTTGTGTTATTATTCATCAGATTATTTCCCTGTGAGGACATATTATATTCAATCGCATCCTTGCGGATAACAGTAAAAAAATTGATGAGATCTAGTTTATAGTGTTTGCAGGGAGGGGAATATTTTGTTCTAGTAAATTCTTAACTCTACGGTCAAGAAAAATGTTATAGATAAACGTGAAAGCAATGGTAAAGAGAAATCAACGACTACAAAGTAAAATAAAACTTCAAGTGAGAAGAAAGTGTTTGTTCCATGTTGATGGCCTCATTGTGACTTTGAGAAGCGCTGCTCCTCTGCTATGTTTTTGTTTGTACACGTGTCTTCAATTGATATACAATATCTTATCTTTTCCATTAAGCTTTTAAGCGTCAATGTTTAATTGCAGAATACACACAATATTTTTACTTTATTTTCGGGAAGTATATAGTTCGTTTGTAGTTGCTACGAAGCAAAGATCGGTGAACTTTGTTCTATTAGCTCGTACACATATTTATTTCCGAAAAGTAAAGAATTCAAAATACAATATAATTTTGGTCATTCAATCGATAAGAATTATGAAAAAAAAATCAATCGATTAAGTTAAATTTAGAAAATGGAAGAATATACATACGAGGCACTCCCCATGCTACGCCATGAACACATAGCCTCAAAGTGAAATAATGTTCCCTCGTTTTGAAAACAACATTCGTTAGCAAATGGAAGGCTATTATTGTAGTCCAGAAAAATGAACATAAATTTGCCCATGTCTGGACACTGCCGTGAATCAGACAAAGATAATCACATTCTTTGCTTGGGCAAGCAAGTTCTATTATTGTTGATTTTCCGTATTTTACGGCGTACCGAATGTTTCCAACAGTGGAGCTAATCGCCATGATGAAATCGGCTATGGTTAAACACACTAGTAACTTTCTCGTCTCGTTCCTAGCCTCATTTGCTAAACTAAATGTAATAAAAATCAACAATGCTCCAATAATTGATAACGGTGCTGATATGAGAGTTAGTACGAGCGGTAGCGTGTCATACGGATCCTGGTAAATATTCGTATATATAACAGTAGAATTCTCATTTCCCATTCTGTCCAAGGGTAAGAATCGTAGAATACGAACTGACTAAGTATTGGTGTAGAAATAAGCAATTGTAATTATGATTATGATCAAATCATTTTAAACAATATCCAGCTTCTTTCTTCGACATAAACAATTTTGAAAATGTAGAAAATAGTGTATTCTCTTCTATTCAGTTCATAATATGGATGTATTCAAATTGCGTGTGCACACTTCGTTGATGTTAAAAAACGGTGTAGATTGAGTCCCTGTCCTTTATCTAATTGATTCTGACTTAGATGCCCGTATGTTGCAAGGGAGAAAACCACTCTTATAAAAATGTGTCCACTGTGTATAGCAGAATCCTCATAAAAACACAAGTCATCTAATTAAAAGTTTGTCAGTGCAAAATTTTCTTGTTCTTTTGGGTTCCGATCGCTTAAGTAGAGTGCACAATAGTTTATAAATTGCGTAACTCTCTAAAGTCGTTTAAAAATAAAAGTTGTAATTTCCAAAAAATCAAATGATGACAATGAGGAAGATACATCTATTAGACCACGGATATGAACGGAAACAATTAGAATATCAATTCATCCAGTGATGCATTGTTTATTTAATAATTTTGTAATAGCACTTAATCATCAAAAAACAAATTTTTTTTTTTTAATTTATAAAAACTCTTCTGATTACGAAAATAAAATATATGGGAAAATGAAGAGGAAAAAAATATTTTCCACATAATAAAAATATCAGTATTGTCAACAAAAGTTCCGGGTGATTTGGTAAGAAAAAAAAGGGATAAGAGACAATGGAAAAGGGCTCATATGAGACACAATGAAAGTGAGGCAGAGCTAAAGGAAATAAATTTGAGTCTAGGTTAACTTAACAACATGAGAAATTAGAATTCCAATATCTACTAGTAGAAATCGGAATTATGATTTATACTGATTGAAAATAAAATTGAATTAAAAGCCAGTTTTTCAAAAGTAACTTATGACTTAGATATGTCTTACGATGGTCTTAGGACATGTCATAGTCGTAAGATGTTTTCGAAAGTGTCCCAAGTTACGATATTACATAACTTTTATGGTAAACTTAAGACACCTTGCGACATGACCTATGATGGTCTTATGATTATCATAGAAGTTACGACATCACGTGACAAATTAAATTCTACTTGTGAAACTGCATTTGGAGGAGGCCCTCGGGCACTCCGGCGTGATTCTCTTTTATTTCAGCTAGCTTCTTCTTAGTGCAGTTAACGTAGCAGGTCCACTCTTTTCGAATCTTCCACTGTTAAAATTACAAAAAAAAGTGAAATTAAAAGACAAAATATTTACTGTTTTATTCAATATGTATGATGACATAAAATCTGTGTCGCCTCTCTTTTCTCTTTTTATCTTAAACGATTAGGGGTTATTTTTTACAGAAGAAAACGCCACTCTACTAGATATCAAAATAATTATTTGCAAGCTTGTGAGCATATGATACAGTTATTTTTGCGGATAGAAGGCTCTTGATGTTTTTCAGTATTATAGATATAAGTTAAAACTAATAAAAACAACGTTATTTTTTTTGATAAACTAAAAAAAAAACGTTAGAATTATGAACTTAAATTAATAGTAGGGTGCCCATGCAGCCAACGAATTTGAACGGTTTGGGTTAACGGAATAACACGGCTGTATTTTATTTCACTGTAAAGAGGAGAACAAGCTGTATGGAGAGATCGATTTCGTCGTTGTCATCAGTGGTCACCTTTTTTTTCCTTAAATTTTGGTCAAATGTCAAAGGGAAAATTTCAGGGAAAACGCAGAGTCACATTTCGACAGATTGCCACCCCCATACGTTAAATGCGTTAAGAGCAAAATAAATTCAAATAATTTAAAGGAATCATAACTACAGTTTCTATATTTAAGACTAATTTGATATTTATGTTGCCGAATATGATTCGAGATTGACGTTTGTGCGTACAGGGTACATATTTACAATTTTCATTCAGTTGTTAAATAACATGCAGTGACCTTGACCTATTTCAATTTTGAATTTTTATATACGATTTGATACAAGTGAACTCTAGAGATATATTTTTTTTTAAAACGCCCTTTTCAAATCTGAAAATATATTCCGCAACGCTTCGTTCGCCAGAACTCTTAGGAACACACCATCATATGTCTAAACCATTAATTTCAACATGTTCTTCTGTTTAAGCATCTTATCTGAAGTTCATTTACGGACTACTTAAAAAAAGAAAAAAATTGACGAGTTTATATTGAGTCGAGACAATTTTTGTATGGATGAATGAATAAATAGTTTATTCGAGTGAAACCGGACTATATACCATATAATGTACGTGTGAGTATTCGTCTAATGATTCCACCAGCCAAATAGGCTTATGATGCACTATCATGTTTTAGTTTATATATAACAGATATAAGAAAATGATTTCAAAATTATAACATTTAAATGTAGACATGCGTATTGCCTTAAGTGATATTTACAATTATAGACAGATTAAACAGTTATATATAGTCCCGTCTTATGTTGGAGCATTCTGAAATAAAGTTTGCTACAAGTTTGCTATTAGCATTAAAGAGTACTGTAATGGCTTCGTTTGGAGAGAGTTCATCAATTTTTACTGGTTGAATAGACGATAACTCGTGTATCAGTTTACTTCTTGCATCCGTATAACGGTCACAATAGATGAGGAAATATATTTTATATATATGTACAGTTATGATTGCTCGTGATCCTACATCCTGTCGCTACTGTTTACTTATATTTTGGCATTGCACAATTTGAGGTCATGCGTTTCACAGACTGTTTATGACGTCTTTATACTAAATCATTTGGTTGTGTTATGATTGATTCTTTAGTCTAGGAGAACATGATTTTTCTATAATTACATGTAACTGTTACTTAATTGGCTTAAAACTAGCTTTTAGTATTTGTGAGTCCTTGTATGTCGGTGCTTTGTGTTTATTGTTTTTAGGTTACTTGTATTTTTGTGCGCTTCGATCCGATCTATTGAGTAAAGCCATCGAAAACTGATTTTTCGTGTGTTTTTATGTTGTGCTTTTACATCACTGTCCCAGGTTATGGGTGGTTGAGTATTCACAAACATGCTTAACCTCGCCACATTCTTTAAGTGTCTGTCCCCAAGTTTGGTGCCTTCAATTCAGTGGTTGTCTTTGGTTCATATCTGTCATATTTGTTTTTCGTAACTTGTTTTGTTATAAATTAGGCCGTTAATTTTCTTAATTGAATTGTTTCATAGTTTTCGTGTCGGGCCTTTGATAGCCGATAAGTCATACGGGGACCTTTATTTGCTAATATCTTCGTCATTTGAACACTGTTGGATAGTTGTCTCATTGGCAATCATACCGCATCTCCTTATTTGTATTTTATATGAGATTATATCTAAAATCAACTTTTAAAATTACTTGTTACATAGAGATATGTCTCGTTTTTTTTGTAATTTTTATAGTATAATGAGAATCTGGAAATGAAAATGGTAATGTTTAGATATGTAAACTATGCAACACTTTCAAAGTCAGTAAACCATGACTGAAGGTGCAGGGTCAAATACATGTAACCTCATTGAGATTAGATGCCAATGCTTTTAAAACTGCATACCAAATATTATTGACTTTCATGAGTGGTTCTCTTTAAACAAACCAAAAACACGAATTTAAATTGTAAACTAACGTCACAGTACCTAAATTGCACCTATTAAGCAAAAATAGCAGCGGAAATCTTACAAGTTTTCTTAGAGACTAAACAATTTGTATTTTTATAATTTGACATTATGCACGTCCTTCAACATAGCTAAATATATTTAAAAATACAGAAAACGTTCACAGTATACATCACATATGTATTCACTAGAACACGTAAAAACTACGGACACGTCGCCATGCGACGTCCACAAGAAGTCAACTGTTAAAAAGGAGCAAATAAAATATGTTACGAGCATCCATTTCTTAAAAAAATGAATAGTAAGCATGGACTACTGTCAAATTATTCTAAATATTTGGAGAAATAAAACCAAAACATCTGTTAGTCGATTTTTACGGAATGAATTTAAGCATGGATGCAATTTGGGTACTCCTCATTAATTCAATACGGATTCAAAATTAGATTGGCGGAACTATGTAGAAAATAAGGGTTCATCTACAAAATAAACCCAGAATGGAAACTTTTGTCTGGATCATAAATACAAGTAAGTGAGAAAAAAAAACCTGTCAAAATAGGTGCAATTTGGGTACCATCACGTTATGCAGAAATTTCAAAGTCAATAGACCATGACTGTGGAGAGAAATGAGATGTGCCAATGTTTATACAACTGCATACCAAATATTATTGACCCACCACTTCTGGTTTCCTATAAAATGACCTAATCACAAACTCATACATTGTTGACGCCGCCCTCGGAAATAGCACGCTTAAGTCTGTTTTGATATTAATTTTTTTTCAAAGTTATGCAATAATTGCAGGTGTTCATGTAAAATCTATGTTATTGCTTATTTGTATATTTGTGGCACGATAGCTGATTCTGGCTTGCTTAATACTAGTTGTAAATGACAAAGAACATAATTTGTTTATGTGTGTATGTATCGCTGAAGATTGCAAATATTCATAAAATATTTAAATTGTTTTCTGTTTCATTTTTATTAATATTTTTCATTATTTCTTATTAACGGGCTGAACACCTGAGTTCGCCTTAATATAGGAAGGCCCCATTTAAAAAAAATAAAAATCAGTGTGATGGTTCACTATTAAACTGTCAATAGTTATTGTCACTTTTTATATTCAGCTGTAACCATGTTTAAAACTGTTAATGACATCACAACAATGGACTTCCGAAATTTAACTGACCCTGATCAGATAATCGCCGAGTTATTAGTAGTTGATGTAATGGTGTTTGGTAAAATGTTTTCACCTTGCTTCCTATTATTACAGGAAAATAATCTGACGAAAAATGTCTGCAGTGTTTTCCTCAATTTTGCGCTCATTATAAAATAGACAATGAAATTTACAGAAAATCCGAACTGCCAACTTAATATCATTAAAGAGTTACATAGCTGGTCAAGAGAGTGACTGAAGGGCATCAATCCTGATTGGTTAATTGTCCATAAGTAATTGAGCAATTCTGAAAGTATAAATACCACAGATATAAATATCACTATGAAAGCAGACCGGCGAATCTTTGCTTGGGCATTTGGGTTCTGAATCTTCAGACTATTTCTCCTAGCTTTCGGAATCTTCGGGGTGTTTCTCTTAGTGCTCGGAATCTTCAGGCTGTTTCTCTTAGCGTTAGGAGTCGTCGTGCTGTTTTCCGTAACGTTCGGAGTCTTCTTACTGGTTTTCCTAACGTTCGGAATCTCCTGAATGTTTCTGCCAAGGGTTCTTAGCTTCCAACAAATGTATATCGTGCATAAGATTATCACAAGCGTTATACTCATAAGACACATATT